GAGGATCCCGCTATGGCATGGGAGGAGGATCCAGCGGTGGGTATTCCGGATCAAAGAGCATAATTGGAGGTGGAGGTAGTGGGGGATCCTCTGGATGCTGCAGTGGCGGATCCAGTGGTGGGTCTTCAGGAGCAAAGATCATAATTGGAGGTGGAAGCAGTGGAGGGTCATCAGGCTGCTGCTCTGGGAGCTCCTCAGGCTACGGCATGGGAGGAGGGTACAGCAGTGGCAGTGGGGGCTCAGGCCAGAAGATCATTGTGAGCTCAGGTGGTGGGGGAGGTGGCTCATCCGGGTGCTGCAGTGGGGGATCCAGTGGTGGGTCTTCAGGAGGCAAGATCATAATTGGAGGTGGAGGTAGTGGGGAATCCTCTGGATGCTGCAGTGGGGGATCCAGTGGTGGCAGTGGCGGTTCCTCGGGCCACACAATCATCATCAGCTCTGGAGACGGCAGCGGAGGGTCCTGCCAGTCCACACAGCAGAAATGCCCTATTGTCATTCCCAACATCGGGTGCCATCAGACCAAGCAGGCCTGCCACTGGCCCTCCAGCCACCAGAAGTAACAGCCACAGGCGGCCCCGGTTCTCAGCAAGAACAGCCCTGCCTCTGTCTTCCAAGTTTGCTTGTTTCCTCCCAGCATGTCCTCTTCCCTTCTCTTCCCTTGATGCTGTATCCCTGCGTGGTGAACTCCCAGGTGGCCTTTCTCACCCATCTATGTGAAGGGAAATAAAAATTACTCTGTACAGAAAGAACTGGTTTTGCAAGGTTGCTTTTATCCTTTGTCAGTCCCCTGTTTACTTTCAAAACGTGAATAATACGTCAAATACATTCAGCTGTGAAATCTTCAGCCTGCAGTGCTGGAGCAGACGGGTGTTAACAGATCTTGCTTGAGAGACCTTGTTGCTTAAGCAGATGATCTGTGTCCCTCTTCCAAATACTGTCCACCAAGGCTGCAGCTTCAGCCTGGGGAACAGCTCCACCTTGGTTTCCCCTTCCCAGAGAAGGAAGCAGACCACAAGCTCTGGATTTCACTGCAGGGATTTTCAGTGCAGACAGCAGCATCCTTTGGAAATACAGTTAGGTTTTTAGGTACTCCATTTCTCTAGATTTATCACAAGAAAACAATTAATTTTGGTAGGCAACATTCAGCAGCATTTGTGCTGAAGTCCACAGCAAGTCCTCTTTGGAACAGGTGTGGTTACAGTCTTGCATTCAGTAAATTTTAAAGCTAGAAGGACTTTTTGTCCCTTTCACATACACAGCTGGTAGGCAGGAGACAGAATTAGGAGTAAAAGGGATCATCGGCCATGCAAACGCTTGAGGCTCATGACTGACTGGATTCTGCCTTTTGCAGAAAAATTGGAGAGTTCCTCTTACACCAGGAGTATCTTCATCCTGTCCTACGCTATCAACGTTAGCATTGCTGTGCATGAAGGAAGCTGCTGGGAAAAAGGATTGTAGGATCTGGCCAAGATTTTTCTCTCTCTCTCTCAAAACAGTGCACACCAAGGCACCATCCATTGAGGTCTTTGCAGTGATGAGACTGAAAGATAACGTGACATGCCAGCCCATCCTGACTGGACTGCAGGGCAGAAAAGGGCCCAGACAGACCATCAGAAAACAGGCAGCATGGTCCAAATGTGGGGCAGCCGCTGCCAGGAAGCCTTTTGCACCCACCCTTGCCTTTACCAAACAATGGTATTAAAGCTGCTCTTTAACTTGGGGAGGGTTGTGGCGATGCCAACCCCTCCAGCAGCTGTGGCTCCAGCCACGCTCTTCCTCCGCATGGGGCAAGTACCACACATGCACGTGTGCTACAGGTTCGGTGTTTACAGTCCCTGTGGGGTCCAGCCTTGGGGTCTCCGCACACCAGCGCTTGCAGGAGCACCTCTCACCACTCCTGCTGAAAGCCTCCACAGCCTTCCCTCGCACCCTGGGTCCTGATGAGCTGCAAATCCTCGGCCCTGCTTTGTGCAAGTCCCTGCACGTTAAATGCATGGAAGGGATCAAGGTGTTGTGATGCTCGGTAGCACAACACCCACACTTCACGGGTGAGAGCCAGAATTGCAGTGACACCTTAGATTTCCCTTTGGTGATGAGAGTGGAGCTTAGGCCACTGGAGGGAGTCCAAAGCAAAATGAAGGAAGCCCCCTGCACCCACGTTCCTGGTGCTGATGGTCCTGTCCCCATACCAATGGAGTTGCATGCATGCTCAAAATTATGTTCATCATGACAGGGCTGGGCAGCCTGCTGCTGCTGTCATGCATCCTCTCGGCTAAAGCCCCCCAATTATGCTTTCCTCTACTCAATCTCCCATGGGGGTGGATGCTGTTGTCAGCCTCCAAGCATGCATGACGCAGTGACAGGATGAAGCTGCTGCAAAACACAGCAGCCAGTGCTGCGATAACTCTGCTGACAAACTGTCACTCTCCAGCAAGCAAAATACCCAGATGCCTCCCCAGCCTCAGGGGTGGGTGGGCTGGCCAGTGAAGCAGGATCCTCAGAAAATAGGTCCTGCTGAGACAGAGGGAATGTTTAATGCCCTAGAGTCCAAGGGTAGGGTCTCGATGGCCTTCAAATGCACCTTTGCAACCAGAAAGATTTCAAGACTTTCCCCGCCGCAGCCTGGTGATCAGGACCCCTGGGAAGCTGGAGCTGAGCACAGACCTCTCTGCTCAGTCAACAGCAGCATCCACCTTGGGCTCCTAAAAGCTTGAGGAGAAATGTCCCTCATGTCCCTGCCATCCTCACAGGGCCCTCTGAAATGGATCTGGGCTGGGGTGCTCCAAAGCAGTGCACTGCCCCATCAGAGGTGGTACCTTTGGCCTGTTGAGCACATGGTTGCCTTTCCCAGCCGGTTGGATGTACTCCTGCTCCCCATCCACCTCCCCATCTCACCAGTCCGGAGGAAAACCCTCTTTCCCCAAAAACTCCCTGGGACTCTGCTCCAGCGCATCCTTTACCCTTGTCCTTCCATCATGCTCTGGCCCCAAGCCGCTCCAGCCTCCATCACGCAGCATCTGCTCTGTCTCCACTCTCTGCTGAGTACCCGAGAACCTGCAGCCTAGCAGAAATGCATTGGGGAGCCCCCAAGGTAGACCCCCAGAAGCCGTTTGCCCTGAACGTTTCAGAGCAAGACTCCCGGAAATTAATCATTAAGTAGAATTAGCAACTGCAATGCAGAACGTAATTGATACATCTCCTTCCTATCACCTATCTTCTGCAAGTGAGTCAAAGAAGGAGGTAGCTAAAGCCAGGCTCAGTAAATACATCCATCAGCATTCCTTAGGGTGTCTCACTTCCCTTAAGAGCACAATGCCTACAATATAAAAGCTCACCTATCCCAAGGCTCTTCATTCACCTGCCACCGAGCCCTGCACACATTTCCAGTTGCACTGAAGGTAAGCCCGTTGATACGGAAACTTTTTGAACCCCTTTGCAGAGAGGTCGCTCCACCGGTTGGTCTTTGAGCACGCTTTGAATGAGGGAAACATGCTAGCTCAATGTCAGACGGGGTTCTCCAAAAACCAATTTGGTGTGCCAATAGGACTGCCTTCCTTACAGGAGAGAGTTGTAGCTGATATTCTAAGGGCACACAAATATGGCTGAATTTTCAGCTGCTGTGAGTTTCAGCAGTCTATAAATCCAGAAGGATCTACAGTGGGACTAAATTTTTTAGACTGATGGCTCTGAGCGTGTCAGATCACGTGTGCAAATCTCTGGAGGTACTCTCAATGTTCCTGCACGGAGAGTTTTCCTGTTACTGTTATGATCTGCAGACCAGGCCCTGGGAGGTTTTCATTGCAGGTCCTTCCTGCTGTCTAACAAGGGTGAGGGAGTTTATGAAGCTGCCATTCTTGTAGGAGTGCAGCAGATGGGGTAGAAGGGTTATTTCCTGGCCAGCACTCAATTTTTGGTGTGAAGGTTCAAAGGCATCTCCAAGGAGCTCCTTTCTGACAGTCTCCAAGGAGCTCCTTTCTGACAGCACTGTTTCTTACAGGTTCACTGCTCAAAGATGTGCTCCAGACAGACCTCCGGAGGCTGCCATGAAACATCCTCCCAGTCCAGCGGATGCCACAGCGGGGGCTCCTGCTGCCACGGGGGCAGCTCCTCCAGCTACCAGGCACAGGGCTCCTCCTGCTGTGGCGGCTCAGGCTCGGGCAGCTACGGCGGGGGCAGCGGGGGCTCTGGCAAGATCATTGTCACCTCTGGCGGAGGAGGAGGAGGCTCATCAGGCTGCTGCAGTGGGGG